GTACTTAAATTTTGAACTCTGTATGTTGCCTAATTTTAAGTTTTTCAATTTAAATTTTTAAAAGTTAATGTAAAGTCTTCTATACGGAAATACTTCCAGATGGAATGACACGTTTTAGATTCATTTCCAAATAGCTGGAGGCGGGGGCGGAGGGCAGGACGGGCTCTCCGAATGCAACAGTTCAGATGAAACCGTGAGCTGACAAATCCTGACGCTGAGCGATGGGTACATGTGAATTCACTACGCTACTCTGTCACCTTTCATTTGAAATTCTCCATAAAAAGTTATTTTAAAACATGAATGGAAAGCTTTAATAATACTGTTTAGAAAGCCATCGCTCCACCATGATAAAAGAAGATTGGCATGAACACAAAACATTCAGAAATATTTACAAAGCTTTGGCTGTTTTTGTGTTTGTTTTTCTTTATTCACCTGATGATTAAAATTTTCAAAAAAGCCTCAGAGCTAATATCGAGATTCACCAAGGGCTGGGCAGGGTGTCACCCTTCGGACATTATCTCACTTGATTTTTAAGTTAAATAAAATCATCATCACTTTGCAAAGAGAAAGCTGAAAATCATGGGAATTCACCCAAGGTCCCAAAGTTAGGGACAGGATTCAAATGTAGGTCTGTGACTCCAAATCCCATGCTTGTGAGGAAAGAATTAAAAAGATGAAAAAATTACCAATACTCTACAAACAGAAAAACCGCCTCTAGTCGATCAAACAATGGAAACATAGCCACGTTTTATGAGAAAATAGTGTGCGGGCTTTATAATACCTTATTTCCCGAGGTAAGTAAAAAGGATAAGAAAAAAAGTCACGTTAAAATTTTTTTTTAATCTTCACTAAACTGAAAGCCACTATTACCTCTACAAGTGTTACATAAATTTTCAACTATCAGGCTCCAACATTTCCTTTTCACCTGTTATTAACTAAACAAATACTATAAATATCTTTAGTTCACCAAAGTTCTTGGATTTGAATTAATTTTCTGGAAGAAACTAGGTGTGGGGGGACACATCCTACTTTTTTTTACTCTTACCCTTTTTTCTACAAAATTTTTACTTTCTGTCCTACATTTTTTTTTAATTTAGATTATTTTTGAAGCCTAGAATATTCATTCCTTGTCTCCTAAATAACGGATTCTTTAAAAGTGTACACACAAGCGCTTAGACATCACTAGCATAAGAATTCATTTTTTAAAAATCATATAGTTTGCTATTCCTTATTACATTAGCATATACCCATAAAGAGGGGGAGCTTAGCTACGTGAATTGTATTTCAGCCTAGGCCAACGCCAAGGGGTAAAGGGAGAAGTGACATGCTTTTCAAAGCAGTATGTGAGACGCCCTTCAGCATGGTTCCAGACGCTGTTCTTGCTTCCTATTTTTCTGCAAATAGCACGAAATCGTTGTGATTTCCCCGTTTAGTGTCCGACTATGAATTCCTCCTCGTGGCAGGTCTTTCAAACCCGAACAGCAGCATAATGCTGGCATATGGTAGGAACTCAATCATTGTTTGTGAAATTAAGAGGATAAAAATACCACGAGAACGCCACAATGCTCCCAAATAGCAATTCTCTGGCTTTCAGAAGAACGGAGACACTTTGGCTTCATGTTTTTAATATAATAAAGTAGTGAGTTCACTGGCCATTTAGATTCTAGCAATGTCAGAGCCTCACTACAAACAAACAGAAACGTCTGTTTCCTGAGCCATATTAGAAATGACTCGGAGGAAAAAGCAAATTCTAACTGGAAAGCATTATTTGAATTTTTAATGCATAAATAAGGTGCTACACTCCTTAAGATCCATGTAGGTAAATATGCTAAGCTTCTACAGTTTGGAGTGCTTTGGAAAACTGGAAATTGAGATTGAGAGTCACACGAACCCACCCTGAAGTAAATGTCACATTTCTGTCTGTCAGTGCTCACCAGACTAGGGCACTGGTATCTACTTATAAACTAAAATGTTACATACAAAATGATTATATATTTGGTCTTCATTTACTCAGACATTTATTAAGTGCATATAACGTGCCAAACGCAGTAGGAGGTGCTGTGCATAAAAGCACGAAACCGTGCCCACCGGCCTTAAAGAATTCCCAGTCTGACAGGGAAAGCGTCTCACCACACGAACCAGAGCGAGTTGCTATTCCCACATCTGTGTCCATCAGGACCCGCGGAGCGAATCCAACCTTTTGCTAATTCCCTGAATTCCTTACCAAAACCAACAGAGAGAGAGGTCCGCATTCATAAAATTTCCCCTTGAAATAATTTGTAAAACGGTTCACTTTGACCAAATTAGCAAGGGGAGGGTGTCTCTGTCTTTTCTCTTTGGCCAAGACTTGCATTTCAAGTTTTAACCTGGACTGAATGTACAATGAAAAGCGAATGGTCCGTTACAGAAATGCTGACAGACACCAGCAGTGGCTGCAACTACAGCATTTATTGAAAATTAATGAACTCCCTGAATTTTATTTATAAAGTGGATATTATTGGTTTTAGATGATTTTCCGCAAGCCAATAGTCAGAATGTAATAAGATGGTGTGTACAGATTACACCGAGTCCCACTCTTATCCACGGCTTGCAGCCTATGTGCGTTTGAACCAAAAAACATTTGATATACACTAACTATAAATTATTTCCTTGGAGATCTCTCAGGCATGAAGAAAAAGCCTCTTAAAATAAATTTAAAATATTATATGCTTGATGGTGTATAACCAAAGGTTTAATCTCACTGCTAAAGGGGCAGTTACCATGATTTTGCAATAACCCTGCAGACAATAATCAAGACAGCTCCTGTTGTTCTCAGAGTAAAGCCTTCGTAAACACAGCATGGATGGATTGTAATTTGATATCGCTAAGATCAACAGCTAGACCTCGTGACAACTCATAATATAAGATTTTATTCACCATTAAATTGAGCGTTTTCCTCAGAAGACATAAGAAAGTGTGTTATTTACCAAGCATTGTCCTATTAACTAAAGATTAGCCCATTAAAACAGATATGATAGATATGCTTTCTTTCTCTCTGCATTTGAAAAAAGTACAGTCCATAAAGCAAGCTCTGAGACGCAGGCAATTAATTAGATTTTTCGAACTTCAGGAAAATGTGCGCATTTCCATCATTTTTTTAAAACAACTGACTCCAATTATTATTCTATTATAAATGTAAGAAATATTCCCAAATAAAGCTATGATCGGTCCAGTTCAAAATGTGTCTCCACTTCATAATAATATTCATATTATTCTAACTTAAAAAAAAAAAAAGGAAAAAAGACCATTAGAATAAACACAAATGGTGACACAATTTCAGGAAATCATGGAACATGTAAGTCTGTAAACACTGAAAGACAATACAAATTAGTGGCAAAAGCATTCAAAATGGAGATTACCAGAAGAATTCAATTACGGGTTACCAAAAAAACAGTACATACTTTATTTAAACACAAACAGGTAAGCCCATCAGTATTTCAGAAATGTAATAAAAGCATCTTTCACTCACCAGTGCTGAATTTTCTCTTGGCAGCTAGTGACCACCTGTCATGAAAACAGATAACTACTCATGAAAAAACAGGGCTATACACAAAGCTACACAATCAGTGCATCAGAAAACTAGAACAGTAGCTTTACAGATTTAACAGCATCTCAGTTTACATTTTTATTTGTCAAATGCACAGAGATGTGAATGTTAGTTTTTAAGCAGCATACTTTATCATAACCCTCTAATGCAGGCTGATAACTGCAGAACAAATTACAGCTTCCCAGTTCATACTTTGGTACAAAACCTGCTTCATAACTATTAGATGACATTTGATATAAGATAACTAGTATTTTATACAATCTCCAGACCTGTTTTCAATGATACATATTTTGTAGCATACACAAATGTTATAAATAACAAAAAAACCAATGTAACATCCACGTTTCATCAGTAAAAAAAAAAAATGACAGTAGTGAAAATATTTTATTTTGTCAGTATATCTCCAAATGTTTTCACCTGTAATTTTTATTCTGATGCATTAAAAATGAATTCAGTGATATTTTTCTACTACATTTTTAAAAAGAAATACTTGGGATAAAGAGATGCTCTGAACAGCCCATTTGTTCCTCCAGTGAATTATGATAAATTTTAAGCACTTCATAGCCAGCTTAAACTATGTTTATAATACTAAAACAATAAAATTAAGTATACAAGTTATTTGTTTCCCTTAAGAAATATTTCAGTAGGTTCTCAAAATGCTCAGAAAACAAATAAGAACACTAACCAGTAAGGAGACAAAAAGAACACTTGAATAACAATTTAAAAAATAACATTGTTTCTAAGGATTACTAATCATCTGTTTTTAAATTATTCATTAATAAAAATTTAAAGCAATAATCTCGAATACTGTAGCACCATTTTAGAGACAGAGAAACTAAGGAATAAAAGCCAAAAGGCTTAATACAAGGCTACGTGGGGAAAAAAAAAAAAAGGCAGTATTATCTGGTTTGAAACACACTGCTCTAGTTTACTGTTCTAGATACCGATATTGTCTCTTGTGTATGTGCTCAATGTTTTACTCAAAAATCACCAGATTTGGTGGGGGAGGCTGTCACTAAATTTCTTTTATTATAACATTTAATTCCTGAAATAAATGTCTTCCTTTGGGACATTTTAAACACTAAGACAGCAATCCTGTACCAAAATACATGCTGTAATCAGATACCCAACCATACTACACATTAACTCAGCATAAAAAGTCTGTCTCAGAATGAAGATCTCTCAGTAAGTATCAATCACATAGCAACACTTAATAACAGTGGTAATATATAATAGAGTACTGACTTTACATCTGGAAGAGCAAGCCTAAAACTACATCAATCCATTTCACTGTTTCTGATTTGGCAGTAATTATAAAATAGACAAACAGAATTAAATGTAAATTGAAAAAGAAAAAAAATTTTCCTGAAACCCTTTTTATAAAGTTCCTATTTAACAACCCCATTAAAAGATGAGACCCAAAAACGCCAGGATGCTTTGCAATCCCATGTGTTTCCAAGCATGAAGTGAGCCAAAAGCACAGAAAGAAAGGCCTGCAAACCATGAGAGCAGGATGTTCATTAACCTCACATGATAATCCTGTCGTAGCTGCATATTAACTAGTTACATATTCATAATCATTTACATTATTTAAAGGACCTTCGATGAAATTTTCTATGCAATATCCATTAGTGACAGTGTTAAAGGTTATAGAAGATAGTCTACTTAATGTTTCCAGGAAGCCTTTTTAATTAGTAAATATGTAAATTTGGCACATATGCTTTTTATGTTTAAAAAACAAGTCCCTGGTAGAATGGCAGGCGTTTCTGCCGTCACCCCCGCGTTCCACTCTCCACTTTGTTCTAGCTCTCTTCTCCCCACCCTACCCTCCCACCTTGCCCTTTTTCTTTCCTAAATAGTCTGATATTCAAGGATAAAACGACAAAAATCTATTTCATAATTTACAAGAGAAATTTGCACTGCCAAAATACTGTCTTACATTAAGGTCTTCATTAATTACATGGAGGGTTTAGAACAACAGAGACTTCAGTTAGGTGCTACCCAAGTGTGGGCCAGATATTATGCGAACCAAAGAAATAAAGGAAAAGGTGAAAGAGGCCAGGCATGAAAACAGAATGGGCTTCTGATGATGTGTCGGCAATTAGCCTTGTTTACGTGACTCAGAGTGCGCCTCCGTTCAAAAAACACTTGAGCCCAAGCAGTTGCATTTATATTTTGAGATATCTTTAGTTTTCTTCTCTTTTACGGAAAGTTATTTTTAAAAATTACTAAATTTCTACAACTTAGCTGCCAAGGAAAATTTTAGAAAAAATCTTATGATTCAAACCTGAATCTACCTAATTAAAAAAAAAAAAAAAACACAACAACAACTCATTTTTCTGTGTTAAATTAAGTAATTCCAAATAAGTTTACTTCCTCTGAAAATGGGCTCAGTTTAATTCCCTTATGTATTAAATAAACAAAGTGACTAAGATACTGAGCCTGGTTCTATAAGCAACTCTTAAAAAACAAAGCAAAACAACAAAAAACATTTCATTACTTTGTTGTCCTTCACGAAAGCTTTTTTTTTAAGGAAGATGGATATTGAGGAACAATACTAGTTTTTTAATTAAGGCTGTCAAAACATGCAACTATTACTCCTAAAGGAAAAAAGAAATCTTATTGAATCATTTTTATGAAAAGAATTGGTTAGTAGGCTTCAACAATTAAAATAATTGACCTAGTAAATTCTTTATTTAATCGCACTTACAGCCAGGAATTTATAAATAAAATATGTGCTCGGGTAGTAGCAGAGCACTAAGTCCACAAGTGGACTAAAGGAGGGGGCACTACGAACTGATTTACCACTTTTTAAGACACATTCTCATTAAGTCTTCACCAACAACACAGTAAGTCAGCCATATGGTACTTTCTTTATAACTCACAATTGCCCCTACCCTAAAAGTAATAATCATAGAGTTCTGTCAAAATTTCATATGATAAAAATCAAGCTGCAAACAGTTCCTCCTTAAAGAGACGAAACCTGTGTTCGGAGACGAAGTGCCATCCCCTATGTTATACGGCTGCCCGAGACCTGGTAAGAGATAAAGTCGGTTTTAGAACCAGGTCTAGCTAAGCTCGAAGTGCACACTCATGGCGTCAGACAGCTTCTGACCATCACGCACCTGACGGGGACCAGAAGAAAAACATCTGCAGTCTTTCCTGCTTAAAACACTGCTGCTACTACTTCTCCGAGTCCTCCATGAACCCAGTCACACACACACAAGACCTTACCAATACTGTCGTAAAAGCAAATAAGTGTCAATTCACCAGTTCACTAATAAAAGTCCTTATTTCTTCCAACGCCCTTTCTGGTCAAGCAACTAAGTATGAACACCAAATTTCCCAAGCCCGTTTGTGAGTGTGCATGTGTGTGGGGCGGGGGGGAAGGAGAGGGTCGTGGGCTAGCCCTGTACTTACTACCACATCTCGTCATATTTTAAGGCACTCATGATAACCGAGTTAGATGTCCAGGGTGACAAAGATGAAAAGCCCACCTGACACCTGTTTTTCTTTACATCAGTGTCCAGCTAACACCATGCACACATTCTGTTACAAAGGGTTAAAGTAATAGTTGGTAAATCTTAAAGTCAATAAAGTATATGGAACAGAGGAATAATAATTCCTTTGTTGTTTTTCCGCAGAAGTCACTTTTTAAAAACTACTTTATAAAGGAAAGAAGGAATGATTTCACATGTGTTACCATCTCCACCCCTTATTTCCACCTGTGCTATTTATTTTGGAAACAGTCCACAAGGGGGCATCAGTCTATGAGTGCTCCATGTTAAATACGGCGCCGCCTTAAAATCAGAGTGGAACAGAAAGCCTGACAGGTAAGTGTGGCCAAGTCACAAATGATACTGCTCTTGAAAATGCTTCCCCTCACTTCTAAAACTTTTCACTGTATTGCAATTTCAAATTCTTCCTGTATTGGTTAATGTATAAAATAACCACCCAAGGATTATACTAATCAGAGCTGTCCAAATTTACATGGCTTGCTTTTCTTGCTAGACTGTGTCTTCAAGGCAGATCGTACAATTTGGGATTTCAATGCTGCTGAGTCAAAAAGGAAAAAGTTTCAGTGGTGGCTAAAGCTCACTGATACTGGACATGCATTGTTATCTGACAGTTACTTAAAGGTTGAAAATAATTTCGTAAAGATCATACTGTCAATTAAATAGATGTATAAATGTCATTACCGAAGTATACAAGAAGTCTAAGTCAACGACATTAGTAAAACTTTACAGGTCTTTTAAATAAACCTCTTTGCAAAGAGGGAAGGAATTGACTACAGATTTCCGACAGAAAAAATAAATAGTAATAAACTGCAACAAACTGCTGAGTGTTTCCGTATAAAAATTTTAAACAAATTTACTTTCTAAAGATGCTGAAAAGCAAAAATACCAAAACTGCTACCAAAAGTTAATTGCATTTATATAGAACAACTTGCTAAAAGACTTAAATGTTCTTATTCAAAAAATGTAACTAGGATGGAATCAAAATGATCATCTAAATCTAACTTTTACATTTAGCCCAGTTTTCTCCTATACAGGATTCTAACACATTTCTCATACTCAAACCCAGTCCCTTTATACACAAATATCGGACATGTCTAACACGCTTGAGAAGATCTCACAAAAAAAAATCATTAAAGAGTAAGTACGAATAGCCGAATGCATCAAGGCACTACAGAGTTACACTGATGAAAAATGAAGAACAGGTTCCAAGCAGGAGGGCGGAGAGAAAGCAGTGAGGAGACTCTGCCTTGCAAAGAGCCAGACGAAGACTCAGGGCCGGAGGTAACTCCAACGAAACATGGAAACCGAAAACGAGAAAAAAGTCTTAAAGTGCTGAAAGAACTGAAAATCTATAATTACACACACAGCAAAAAGATCCTCCAACATGAAGGAAAAATAAACATTTTCACAGAGTCATGTGCCAGCAGATTTTTCACTGAAAGAAATACAACAGGTAATTATGTGACATGATGGTGTCAGCTAACACTAAGGTGGTGGCCAGCACTGCAATGTTTAAGGGTATTAAATCAACACCTGTACACCTTAAACTTACCCAGCAGTATATGTCAACTACATCTCAATAAAGCTGGCGGGGGGCGGGGGGGTGGATGGATACTACAGGGATTATTCAAAGAAATATAAATGCAGAAAGAACTAAAGAGCAACTGTACAGGTAATTTTTAAAAAGGTACAGATGAATCGATATTGATCACATAGAACAATTAATATTGTTCTGTTTAAAATACCTAAAATTATTCTATGGACATGTCACCCTGAACAAGCCCGATCCCGTCTGATCTCGGAAGCTAAGCAGGGTCGGGCCTGGTTAGTACTTGGACGGGAGACCACCTAGGAAGACCAGGTGCTGTAGGCGTAAAAAATAAAAAATAAGGGATTGTAAGCAAGGTCCTTACAATCCGTGAGGTCAACCAAGGGTTGCCTAGCCTAAAAAATAAAATAAAATAAAAAACAAAAAATAAAATAAAAATAAAACACCTAGAATTAAAATGCATTGAAGCAAGAATGCAAACAGGATGAATAAATGAATGCATGCTGTGATCTCTAGGAAAAATTTCCCTGGTAAGAAAAAACAGTAAAAAATATAGTATAAATATACAGTATATTTAGTGCCAACGAAACATGTATAGTACTAAAGTACCACAGTAAAAAAGAATGTATCATGAACAAGTTAATAGACGGGAGAAAATACAACAATAAGGTATGTTTGATTAAAATCAAAGAAAGGCCCTAAAAAAAGCAGAGAAAAAAAGAACATCAAAGTAGGTAAAACAGGCCCACAATGAGGTATCACTTCACACCCATTAGAACAGCTATTAAAAAAAAGAGTACAAAACAAGTGTCCCTAAAGCTGTGAAAAAAGCTTAAGTCTACACTGTTGGTGAAAATGTAACGCGGTGCAGTCACCATGGAAAACAGTTCGGTGGTTCCTCCAATATTAAACAGAATCGCCACAGGTTGCAGCAATCCCCCTTCGGGGACACACCCAGAAGAACTGAAAGCAGGGACTCAGACACTTGTACGAACTCATGTTCACAGAAGCATTATTCACAACAGTCAAAAGGTAAAAGCAACCCATATCCATCAGTGGATGAATGAGTAACAAAATGTGTTATATACATATAATGGAATATTATTCAGCCTTTAAAAGGATGAGAATTCTGATATATTCTACCTTGAAGACATTATGCTAAATGAAATAAGCCAGTCACAAAGGGCAATTACTGCATGACTGCTCTTGTGTGAGCTATCTGGAGTAGTCAAATTCAGAGACAGAAAGAAAAATGGTACTTATCAGGGGATGGGGGAAGGCGGGGGAGTTATTGTTTAATGGGTAGTTTCAGTTTTGCAAGATAAAGAAAAGTTCTGGAGATGGATGGTGGTGACAGCTGCACGACAAACTGAATGTACTTAATGCCACTGAAATATACACTTCAAAATTACTTAAATGAAAAATTGCATGTTTTGCATATTTTATTACAATTTTTAAAATCAAAAGTAAAATGTCCAGTAGAGAGG